AGCACCAGTGCTGCAAAAAGCCCGGGTCTGTTCATAAATTAAACTAAAGTAACTCTAAGTAGCAGTGTGTTACAACTCTATTCCAAGATTTAAAATTGTCCTACGATGAGAGGGGAGCGTTCTCCCCCTTCACCCTTCCTCCGTCCTCCCCCTTCCCCTCGCCCAGAAGTCCGTCCTGGCTACGCCAATGTCTGGAGATTTCGAAACTTTCGCCCCACGGATTTTCCGATCGGGAACAACTGCTCCCCGGAAGTGCTTCGCTGGAGGTTGATTTGCCTGGATGATCTAACTGAGGAACTGCATAAGCCAGGAAAACGAAATCTCGCGAACAAAGCGTTCGAAAAAATATGGCACCGAAAATTTGAAATTAGTTCCGAAAGCTCACTATGTCTTCATTTTGTAAGTTGAGAGGGAGAAAGGGAGAACAAAGCTTTGTCCCCGGTGAAAGTCAGGAGCGCGGGTAAGTGAAGCACCAACCTTGAGAAATGAACAAAGCATTTGTGGATAACAACAGACCGATGAGAGTTAACGAAGTTGCTTGGTAGTTGAGTATAAAACGGAAGATCAAGATACAGCTGGCTGAATTCAACTGAAATCAAGCAAGCAGCCCCAGGCGCAATTTTAAAAATGCCGCTCTAGGGGACCCGGAGACCGGTAGGCGAGGTGGAAGTCGGTGTCGCTGACCATCAGGCGATAGATCGCCGACCAGAACAACTGGAAGAAATGCCAGCCTCACAGGCGGATTACTAAATAACCGCTGTTCCAGGTTTTTTGCATGGCAAAATGAGAAACCCGAAACCAACCCACATCACTGCACCCTTGAGGTAACACAACATCCGCGCTACTGCTGTATTCCGGAACCATAATTTTGGTATTCTTTGGTTATTACTGGCAAAATGCTGCCGCTTCTGTTACTTGGCCTTTCACAAAGAGTGAGGTGAGAAAAGGAGTCCTGGGAGCAGGTCAGTTTTGCTTGGATATTGATGGAGATTAGCATAAAAGTCGGTGTAATTGCATATTTGAAATTTGCCACTTTTAACTAAAACTTACTGCTTCGAATCTTTTATGCCTCTTTATTGAAATTACTGTTGAAACAGTGTGCAAGAAATAAGTTAAACGTCAGAGCAGTCAAATTATCGCAGTTGGCACGCAGGGCACAAAACCGCACTTTGCTGGCGCACCGAGTTCCGAAAAAAGCTCAATACTCTAAATATGGTACCCAAACCTCCTCTCTCCTCCCTCCCCGCTTTTCTTTTCTATTTTATCTAATTCTGAAGGTTCATCGTACGGCGACTAGACACACGTCAATGTCACGTGATGCAATTATCACAACACGATCACGGAATGAGCAAAACATCACATCAGATTTTCTTTTTAACAAGCTGCTCCAACCTTCGCATACTTGAATCACCGATGCTTTCCAGTGCTGAAAAAGCTGATGACTGCGCACCGACTGCTGCTGAAAACAGACATGCGTGAAACTTAAATCACTGTTCCACGACAGCAATGTGAAAAGAAAACGCAGAAAAGATCAAAGGGCCCGTTCAACAGCTATGTGGAATTCTGTGAATAAGAGCCGCAACAATGACGAAAAATAGCATGATAAAAAACAACTGGTCAAAGTGCAAAAGTACCATCAAGACCCTCCTGATCGTTAAGGCAATTAATTGTGACCTAGGAGTGGCAAACAGAGAGAGGAAGAGAGAAACAAACAAACCAGAATCTACCGCAGCTGACTGCCCTTCAATACGTGTTTTGTAAAGCTGTATGATACTTGCTTGCTCCTGGCGCCGTAATGCTTTCATTTCCAGAACCTTCTGTAATTCAGAAGAGTCCGAGTCCGGTAACAGGCGTGAATAGGCCATTACAAATTCTTCGGCCGATTCGGCTTCCGACATAACAATCTGGAAAAAATAGGAAAAAACTTTTTTTGCGGCGACAAATCTAGCTTAAGATATGCAAAATTTCAGCCATTTTTAGGCCAAAGAAACGCGAGTTTTGGCTACATAAATATACATGTCTATACATACATGTACATATATATATATATATTATATATATATATATAAAATCAAGCAACGAAGTTTAAACTTTGGCCATACATGCACTGGAATGTGGGGGAAAATTCCAGAAAAAGTAAACTAACAGAATGAATTTTAAATTCGAAATATTTAAGCAATAAATCCATGTCACAGACACTTTTATTTGTATTCTACGATGCGAAGCACAGATGCTCGTGTCTAGACTCCACGATATGAAAGAAAGAAAATGAAATTTGAATTCCTATGAACGTTGAGACAAATTTATCAAATTTCTAGAAATATTACAACTTTGACGAAAGAGACACTGCATCATCAAGATAATTTCTTCCATAATTTACTACATAATTTACTAGAAATGACTTAATTTATTCAGTCTTAACTACCCTTTTTTCGTCCAATATGTTAAAGTATTTCATGTCAGCTCAGCTCCACTAAATTGCAAATCCATACTTCCCAGTTTATGCCTAGGTCGTGACCGTATATTGATGACGCTTCACTGCGGTCTGGGGCAACAACCCTTTTGCAATTCTTAGTTTTTATGCGTTTTTTGCAGCAATGCAATGCGAAAAACGCATATTGACGAGAGGTTGTCTATGTGTCCGTGTGTCTTATGTGCGTTTGTCACGCACTTTCGTCTCAGGACCTATAAAAGCTGCGGGGCTGAAATTTCGGGAACTTAATCTAAATGCACGTGCCGCCCCCAATCCCCAAAATGGGCGCCAAAACCCGCGTGGTACCCGCGTGCGGGTCCGCCAAAATTCTTTTGGGGTCAGTTCATAACTCGAGGATCTGAGAAGCTAGAACGCTGAAATCTTGGGACAATGTTCCCCGCCCAACCGGGTATTAGTGGGCTCAAATCCAGCCCCTGAGTAAGCGTAATACCCGCGCACGAGCCCGTCAAAAGTTCTTTCGGGTAAGTTCATAACTCGGGGATCTGAGAAGTTAGAAGGCTGAAATCTTGGGGTAGTGTTCCACGCCCAAGCGGGTATTACTGGGCTCAAACCCAGCCTCCGGGTAAGCGCGGTACCTTCTAGCTTCTGGGTGCGAGGCTGGGCACGAGCCCTCCAAAACTTTTTTCGGGTAAGTTCATAACTCGGGGATCTGAGAAGCTAGAAAGCTGAAATTTTGCGGGGGGGGG